CGTTTCCAAATGACTTGGTGGAGGAGAAAAAGGTGAGAAGCTGGTGGCCTTAGTTACCCCCTCCTTTTCTTGGATGACACGGTGTAGATGAAGCTCTGCCTTCCCACCAGACAGACATGGTTTGCCAATGGAATGGGCATTTGTTCAGAGTGCAGTTGGCCAAAGTCTTTCTTTTAAAAAGTTTTTACAAAAAAAGCAGTTATGGCAGACCCAAAGGCAATTGCTTCCTCTGTCAGCTTGGAGTTGGAGATCTGAAACTCGTACTGTATGTAAACACTGAAATGGTGTGGGTATTGGCTGTTGTGGGGTGGATGTCTCTTTCTGCTCTATAGAAAATTCCTGGCTCATGCGGAATTGGAGTGGGAAAAGGCTTTCCTGTTCAGCTCCAGCAATGGTCATTTGCTGGAGGCTGGAAGGCCTTTGCATGTAGTCTGCCTCTGTTTGTTATTCTGAATGAAAACCTGCTTTAACAACCTGGGAAAAAAAAGAGGGAAAAAATGGTTAAGTAAGGGGAACAAGCGGCCAGCCAAAGAGAGGGACCTTGTAACTTGTCAGTAATGTACAAGAAGTTGCTGGGGAAACACAGCCCTGAGGAAGGGGAGTTGGCATGCAAAGAGAATATAAGAAAAACGACAAAGAGGAGGGCCCAAAGTACGCACAATTGTCTGTCTGGCTATTACTGCTAGGTTATTTACTTCTGTACTGCAGAGCGAGAGTTTTCCCTTATCTTGCCAGTGACAAATACTAGAACCGAAGACGTGGACTTCGATTCATGTAAATGTGTTTATGGTCTCTGTTTAGGGTATGAGCAAACATGTTTTATGTGTAGTGCTATCTCCCTCCTCACATGCGCATTAGGAAGTTATATAAATGTTGTTACTGGAATGCTTTCGGAGAAAGTGTTTCATTATACAAGGGGTTGCTTGCTACACTTCTGTTTCCCTTTTCTGAAAGTTACACAATTTCCACTTGATTATTGATAAAAATAATTCATTCAGTTTTAATTTGAGGCAGGATGACTGGAAGATTTTACTCACCATTAATTACGGTAACCTTTTCAGTCTAAAGCACTTTTTTGTCACAACTTACCTGTTTTTGTCTAATACAAATTAAGGTAGCATATTCTAAATGTCAGTGAAAACACTGTCCCTTACATTACAGAGAATTAAGTGCTTGTCAACAAGATGTTTACAAAGGAATAGGTGCTTTAGATAAAAGGCAGTGAGTTCTGCCGCAGATAACTTCTGCTTTTAACAGTGATAATAGGTAGGTGCAATGTTGAGCTTATTTCTTTATGAATCATGTTGTCTTAGCTGGTGATGCGTATAATTGTATTGATTGTACCGCCATGGTTGCGGTTCACAGGAAGGCTGGTCTGCTTTAGAGATGTCTAAGGAATTGACGTTGTCACATTCATACAAATTTAATGTTTTCTTACCTGTAGCATTTTTCTTTTTAAAATAGCCTTCCTTTTCTAATTAAAGATAGGTTCTCCCTCCATCCCCTGCTGGGTTGCGGCAATTGTATGTAATGCTTAATCATTCACCTTCTAAAATTATTGCAAGATTGTTAATCCTATCGATAATTTAAGGACTTATGACTGTTTAGGCAAATAGCATCGTGAACGAGCGTCAGACTTGCATAAAGGCCTTTCTGTCTCTCAGACCAGTATTTGGTGAAAACATCGACCTGCGATTTTTTTTGCTTCCTATCTTGACTGACCAATAAGCTTGACATTTAGTAGTTGGTGCGGTTTCTAGACAGCCTGGTGACTTCGCTGTCTTTTATTACGTCTTAGAAGTTCATTTTCTGGAGTAGAAATGAAAAGATGGACTGGAAGTAAAAAGGAAGAAGAGATGTTATTTATTTAAAGTTAATTTAAATATCGTACTACCAAATTAGTTGGAAATGTGAATTCATTTTTTATCTAAATTGCAGTCTTATGCTGCACCCTACACTGTATTTCTTTTAATCATGAGTGTTTCATGTACTTTCAGTTTTTCCAGGCTGTGTGTGAGTCACATTTTTTTTTTTCTTAATGTGAATTTTATCTGTAGCTTGATGCTGCTCTGTGCTGCTGTGTTTCATGATTCGTAGAAATTAGAGTAAGATGATGTGGTCTGCCAGCGAGACATGACTGTTGGAATTAGAATTCTATTTTGTGTAAAAGGTCCCAGTAATTGTCTCATTTTCTTAGAATTCAATTGATAAGCAAACTCAATACTTCTGAAAAATCACGATTTTTTTGTATCTTCTAGTAAAGCGCTCTTTTAGCAATGTGTTCGGCAGTCTTAAGTGTAAGAGTTTCTGCTGTTTTTTGCTTAGGTCTGTTTAGTTGTATGCATGTGATCCCGTGTAATCATGCATGATTATAACGTGCTTTCAGAAGGGGCAGCGGATGGGTCTGGGAGCAGCAGCAAGTAAGAGTCTGTTTTGATACAACATATGCCATAGAAGAGTTTCCATGTTCATCACCCCTCGCCCCCTTTTCAGCTGTGGCTGAATTACACCTGTCCAATGAATGAATGAAGATGACTATATCCCCCAAAATGGGCAAAGTAAATGGAAAAGTAAAGTTGTGGGGGTTTTTTTGGTGTTTTGTTTGGTTCCCCCCTGCCCCTGCAATTGGTTGTGATTCAGTGGTTTAGATTGCAAGCTCTTTTTCATAGAGATGTGCTTGTAAGGTACTGAACATCTTACCAATATCAAATCCTTGAGCATGACTTGGTTTTTTATGTTTCCTTTTCTCCCTTTGTAGAATCATGGCAAGTCCAAGAACAAGGAAAGTTCTCAAGGAAGTCAGAGCACAAGATGAGAACAATGTGAGAAAATTATAATCTTCTTTAGTTTTGTAGCATTGAATTTTCTTTTTACCTACTCCAGATGTATGTTGCGGTCTACTACAGCTATCATCTTTATAGCATTAGTACGGCTAACTAGTGGTAACATACACATTTGGATATCTCATATTTGTGTTAGTACCAGTAACTTTTATTCATATATGTATTATAATACATTGCTGCATATTTGGCACAAGTCTTTCAGAAGATCTAGTAATGCTGTAACCCCTGGAGTCTGTTGAACAAGTGATGTCTTGGGGACAGCTTAATTAAAATGGTCTATTTCAAGTAGCTTGATTTTATGCTACCTTAAATGTGACAGCCCATGGACAGGTTCAGCTTTATTTATATCAATGCATTAAACCTCGAGTGGTGATTCCAATCATAAGAACTTAAGTTGTTGCACTGTATGAGCAATAAAGCTATTTTTAAGAAAAACCTCTGTTCAGATCTGCTATCATTTACTGCCAAGCTGTAGTATGACTGAATAAATGTTCCTGACTTTAAATGTTGCATCTTTATTTTGCCAAGGAAACTTCAAGAATTCAGTTTGGTTACTTCCTCCTCCTTCAAAACAATCTGGAGATGAAAACAAGTTGAATTCTTTGCTCGTTAATTTCAACTCGCTCATCTGTATTACCTCACTGGTTTTTGGTAGTCGGTACAGTAATTTTTAGAATCCAAGTCAGGCACATTAATGGGTATTTCCATGCAGCATAAATAAATATTTGAAGGAAGCTTATGCTGTCAGGGAAGATGTTTCCAAACGCTAAGAACTCTCCCTTCTGAAATTATTTTCTGCGTGTAACGTTGTCATGATTTGACTTTTTGAGCTGTACTGTGAAAACTTCACATGGACAAGTGATGACTGAGTGTTAGAGATAATTGTTTTTCTCTCACAGGTCTGTTTTGAATGTGGTGCATTTAACCCACAGTGGGTGAGTGTGACCTATGGAATTTGGATCTGTCTTGAGTGCTCAGGAAAACACCGAGGCTTGGGAGTTCACCTCAGGTCAGCCTTTCAAGCAGACGATGGACTAAGTTGGGTTACCTCAGGGTGCATTATGGCTGTGAACAGAATGTATTGTTTCGGAAGGGTATAGAATGTCTCAAATCAACATTTCACTGGCAGTTTTGCTTCATGCTTCTCTTCAAAGTGAGCTTTACTCTCTGTGCCTTGTCTGTAATTAGTTGGGGCGTGTGCTGCACCAGTGCAGCTATGTTATGCCCAGCTCTAGAAAGTAATGTCTCTAGCTACGTCGTGAGGTTGTGTGGTGGTGTTTGGTAATACTGCACTAGTCCTTGTACTCTATTCTTTTAATCTCGTATAATCTTTATCAATTACAACTGAAATAGCGCTAAAGCAGCTTGAGAGTTGAGCAAAAAAAGTCACAGTATGCTTACAGAATGTTTCTGTAGTGTATAAAACAGTTTTATTCTGTTCAGGAGATTTTTTTTTTTTTTTTAAATGACAGTTTTTGTTTTTTCCAAGAAACATGCTCAGTATTCTGTTCAGGAGATTTTTTTTTTTTTTAATGATAGTTTTCGTTTTTTCCAAGAAACATGCTCACCTGAGATGAGAATCTGTGGAATAAAAATTGCTATGTGTTCCGGAGACTCACAGTGTGTATATGTATAATAGGGGCAGAGCATGGGATAGTTACTCAAATGAGAAAGGGAGTCCAGGAGGGAAATCACCAAAGCAAGGAGGCCATTCAGAAGTACGTGCTTTGCTTTTCAAGGGGTGATTTGAAGCTCATTAGCGAGTAGAAATTGCATAGGAAATGAGAGTTTGGAACTATTACATATGTTACATGAAAGAAAAAATGAAATTACTGAGATGAGGATATGATGAAGGGTATTTCTTTAGGGACAAAAAGAAAGAAATCGGTCAAGATACAAGTTTTAAAGAGCCTTCTTGAGGATGATGTGTCACTTTTTCCCCCCCCGGTGACCTTGTATTTAACAACAGGGCAACTGTTTGGGTTTTTTGTGGGTTTTGGGTTTGTTTGTTTTGTTGGTGTGTTGTTTTTTTTTAATATAGTTTAATGAGCAGTAGCAAGAATTTATGGCTCAAAGCAGAGTTGAGATGCTAACTGCAGTCATAAATGCCCTGGGATGGGGTCAGGTTATAGGGTAGGCTATTTTAAACAGTTGAGCTGTCAGTACTTGATGGTCGTTATGAGCAGAAGCATGGAGTGGGACAAGAGGTGTCCTCGCAGGTCACTTAAGCGTAACGGTGAAAATAGGAAAAGAAAATTGCGGAGTGAAGAAGTGTGGGAAAAGTTTCTTTTATATAGTGGGTTAGATTAATTTCTGGACTTGAAGAAAGCTGCTTTTTCTGTCACTTGCCTTCTGTTGACTGTCTCCTTTAAGTGCTGATAAATGGCATGATTTTAGCTTATTTCAGTGAGGATCTGACCACCACCTTATGATGATCTATCTTTCTATACTTGGAGAGTGTTCTTTAACATGTTTACACTCCCAACTTTTGAGATAGGTTGTAATAAGTTTGGGTTTTTTTTTTGTCCCTGCTGATATACAGGAAATTATAACAAACTGTGATTTTAATTTTTTTTAAAAACCGCTTTTCAGTTTTGTACGTTCTGTAACCATGGACAAGTGGAAGGATATTGAGCTGGAGAAAATGAAGGCTGGAGGTAATAGCAAATTTCGAGAGTTCTTGGAGTCTCAAGATGACTATGATCCCTGCTGGTCAATGCAAGAGAAGTACAACAGCAAAGCTGCAGCTCTTTTTAGAGATCAGGTAAGTTCTATTGTGTATGTGTCCTCATCCCCTACTATCTGAAAATATCAAAGTACTTCGTAAGCACTTGCTTTTGAAGGGGATGGGGGGGGAGGGAAAGTAGCAACCTTTTGAACCTCTGCAATGGTTCTTGAAAGGGATGTGTCTTAGAGTGCTTCTTCCCAACTCTGGTAAGAATTTTCTTTAGAAACTTTCTTTTCTGCATTTAGCTGAGGTGGCTCAGATTTTCACCACTGCAATTTGTTGCAACTAGTTAGTCAGTGGAACTGTCCCAATCCACAGTAGACAGTTTACTACTTCAGCAGTACAGTTTTATCCGAAGTGATTGTTGATAAATCTTTTGTGTATGTAGTAACAAAATGGTAAATTAATTTGCCAAACACTGGCAGGCCTATAAACAAATAAATCAGTATTTGTAATGGCATTATCATTTCGTGGAGGTTTGGAATTTCCAAAATGAAATGACAAACAACTTGAACTTCTGAATTTGGAGACTTACAAAGATACTGTATTTTTTTATGCTGACCCTGCCACGGAAGTGGTAAGAAGGTACATTCTGTGCTCACTGGGACATCCATGCAGAATTGAAGTTTGTTGTGTGTGTTGTCTCTTTGCATCTTTAGAAGTTGCTAGGAATAGCAGATGGTTGGCTAAAGAGGAGTATCTTGATGAAAGCAAAGAATTCGTAAGTTCTGTGCTGTAGGCCTCTTAGTGTGTGAAATGGGGAACTATAGAGTTTCTGTGGCAAGGCCTTTGGAAATTTTATATGAACTTGTTGAAGTTATGACTTGGATTGGAGGAGCGGTATGGGGTGAAGAGATGAAGTTCAGGTCCTTTGTTTGAAGGAGGCAGAGAGAACATTGAAATTCTATGTATGTGCTTTAGTCGCTCTATGCTAGAGTATAAATCTATCTCTTTCTATTCCTCCACTATTCTGTGATTAGTGCTTACATCTCTTGATTAATCTAGTCTTTCCTCTTCAAACCTAATTTGCCTGTTTGAAGAAGTTGCCTAAAATCGGTTGCCTGAAATAAAATCAGTGTTCAGCTCAACATTACTAGCCTGAGATTCAGAAAAAAAATTGTTTTCTTGTGAAAACAAATTAATTGATCTATGCAGCTGGCAGCAAATTGGAAAAATGACTTGTCCTTTATAGGACCAGTGTATCACTTGCATGAAAACTTTGACCTAGCATTCTTGATTATTTTCCTACCTCTTCTAGGTAGCTACAGTAGCTGAAGGCAAGGAGTGGTCCATTGAAACTTCTCCTGCCAGGAACTGGACCCCACCTCAGCCTAAAATGTCTCTTTCTTCCACTCATCGGTATGTATTCTTGTTACCTAATGTTGATATAGCTACAGCAGGGTCAAAACCTGATGTTTGACTGTCTGCTGGTTTTATGCTGTCGATGGTGTTGTCTGAACAAGCATTTCTTTTGCTGAAGTTAAGGAATATGAGGTAGCAGGGCTTTAATTCCTGTAATAATTCCCACCTCTTCCACCTGAACCTTAAAATGTGGCAGAGACAAGTGAGTGAGAGCAGAGGACAAGCCATGCTGTTTTTATCTGGACTTGTAATGCACCTGAGACTAGTCATTGTGTCAGTCACACGTAGTGTGTCACAGCCTTGCCTTAACTGCAGTGGCTCTTCCAGTTCGTGATTGAATGCCAGGGAGAAGAAACAGACTTTTTCCTTATGGTGCTAATTACTAACGGGAGCATTGAAGCTGGACAGCAGCAGTTTTGTTTTTCTGCTTTTGCATGTAGTGTTTGTTATTCTTTGCACTGAAGAATCAAGTTAACTGAAAAAGCAGTTGTAAATCAAGCAAACAAGTGCTTCATGCCTGGCCGTCATCCAGCAAGTTCAGGAGCTAGCTGTAGTCGGAGTAGCATTGTCTGTGGGTCTACTGTTGCTTTATTCATTCAACACTCCAGTGGCTTTTAGTGGTTGCATTAGAGTTCCCTACTTGATAGACGAAAGAAATAATCAATTTTGCACCTGTATTATTATGATATATGTCAAGCTGCGCTGCTGAGCTAGTGGTTTTTGCTTTACGCAGTTTGATTCTTAAATCTTTCATTTCAGTAGTTCTGCTGGACAATCTCAGAATACAACTGCCTCTTCTGACAAGGCTTTTGAAGACTGGTTAAATGATGATGTCAGCTCCTACCAAGGGTAATGCAATATTTATTAACTTTTTGAGTGCCTGGCCCTCTAGCATAACGAAGACTCAGATGTTATACTACAGCTACACAACTGTGATGCTGATTCACTAGTTAACAGTTACATCTTGTTCACTATTAAAAATATGTCGATAATATATGATAAAGGGTAAGAGGAAGGAAAGTGCCTCTCAATGCATTTGTATAACAAAAATGTTTGAATAGCATTGAAGAAAGAGCTTGTAACTCAAAATGTTCCTGTGGTGGGCTCCAAACTAGGGAGTTTTTAGTGTTATGTAGTATCTTGCAGCGATTTGAGTTAAACAGGGGTATTTATAAAGCTAACACTGTTCTTTCTTTCCTTTTCCCATTTTCATGCATCACTTTATTAGGATTTACTCAGACTTCTGATACCAGTGATCTGTTAAACCTGGAGAACCATTAACACCGCATTAGCTTGCATAGGGGACACTTTAATTTGCAAGGATTCCCCAATGGATCCTTGTTGATGTTATGTCTTTATGAAGTGAGTGGTTTTGTATTTTGGGTGCTAGGTGCTTTAGGACTCTTTTTCCCAGGTGTATTTGAAAGTCTGTTAAACAATTGTCCTTCTTTCACGCTTTTCAGTTTTTGTTTAATGGTTTTAATGAATGCAGGCTAATACAGATACTATTTTTTAATTTTCTTTTGGTAGTGGCCAAGAGAATCGCTACGTGGGGTTTGGAAACACAGTAAACCCTCCGAAAAAAGAGGATGACTTCCTGAATAATGCTATGTCTTCATTGTACTCGGTAAGGAAATGCTTGAAGCTTTCTGTGACCTGAATTACTATTTTCTTCTATTTTATCTCCTGTTATGGGAGAATATCAACAGAGAAGAGGAACTAAAGACTGCAAGAAGATAGAGAGATGTAGAGTATTGGTTGTATTCTCAAAGAGTGAAGAAGATACTGGTGGACTTTAAAAGGCAAAACTAAGGGAGAAACTTGAGCAAAACTTAGGAATTATGTCTGGTATCAGCTCATGGAAATAAGGAAGTGAGGATATAGCAATGGATTAAGAACTAATACTCAACAGGGCCTGGAGAAAAAAACAAAAAGTAATTACCTGTTGGGCATAGCAGTTAGGCTGGTAACGCTCTAAATGTTTTCCACTGAACATACCTAATATGGTTAATACAACTGAAATGTGTGTGTACATGGGTGCCAGAAGCCCTGAGCAGCAATGAAAACATTTGAAATACTTGTGACAGAGTGTGAAGAGAGAACAGCATATGGCTGAACAGTTGTCGTGATTAGAGTAGAGATAGTGAGAGATGCATTGTTGAAGGAAAATGGGAATCAAGTCGGAAGCAGTCAGGAACATATTGGTGCTTTGATAGGCTGCAAAGTAACAGTGCTGAACAATATTTGGGATTCAGAGTCACTCTGAAATACAGTAAGGTTTTCTGGGTTAGTGGCCAGTAGTCTTCTGTAGAGCCTCATCATATCATCGGTCTAAATATCCACACCAGGTTCCGTTGTTTGTTTTAAAAATTGTAATAATTTCACTAGAACATAATAGGAAAAGGTAATGCCTGAGCCTTTGAACAGTATTCCAGGTGATTCCACAGGGTGCTTAGTATAAGTCTGCTGAATATTTGCTAGGTATGTCATAAGATTGTAGGCCAGAGAGTTCAAAGTGGAAACCGCATCTATAAAGTATTGCAGATGTGCTAAGACAGCAAAGGAGAGATGATACTGTATTGTCCAAGTTACTGTCAACCATTATTTGAATACATGATCTCATTGAAACTTATGATTAAAATGCCCCCTTGTGACCACAGATACACACTACAGTGCAATTATGTCATTTATTATAGTGAGACAATGTTTGCATGCATATTCATCTTAGAGAGGAAACCAACTTTCTTTCCACTGTGTATGATCGTTTTTCCCCACACATGCCGTATTTATGTATATACTTTATTTTCTGCTGTTACATATCAGAAGGAGCACTTTCTGTAGAATTCACACAGACTACACTATCCAACTCATTCTGTAAAGAACAGATTGCAGTTTAGGTTTGTCTTGAGTCCCTTGAGACTTTGCTTAACATAAAAATTACGAGACACAGCCTTTTGTGCAAATAGTGACATGTTTTAGTGTGTCAGCATAGGACAAGAAAGACAATTAATGAAGAGACTTCAAAAGGATAGGCAAAAAATATTTTTTGCTGCTTTTTTTGAAAGATGTTCCCTCAACCTAAATATGTGGCGTAGTCAAATTAAATAGAAGGGGTAATGAGAAAAGATTCTACTATTTACGGCCTTTGTATGGAAATCTACCCAAAAGGTAATACGTTACCAAAACATCCACGCTTTAAACAAAACATTCACACTTTGATGGAAATCAAATTGATAAAAGGCAGTGGTAGACATGGATATTAACCTTGCATTTGTAGCACCATGTCTCAAAGATTCTGCAATGCAGCTTAAAATTAGGTGGTGATGATCTGCAAAGAAAAAAATTACCCTTACATCTGTTTCTTCATTCGTTATTATATACAAGGAGAACCACAGACATGTTAAAGTTTATTTCTGTTTTTTACCCATTCAAGTATGGTGGGGTTTTTTCCACTTGTTTTACTGGGCTGATTCTGGATGAATGAGTTACTAACGGGAATGGACATCTAAACAGTTGAGAAGTCATTTTTAATGATTTTGTTAAAAAAAAAAAAAAATCATTAGAATCACTCTCCTGCTCCACTTTATTTTAGCTGGTTTCTTAATCAGTATCTGACAATCAGTGGTTAGAGGAAACCTTTTCTGATTTGTTACAGAAAAGTTTTTTAAGAAATGGCCAATGGTTTTCAGATCTTCCAAGAACCAATGAGTCAAAATAAAGCTTTGTTTCTTTCGTTTCTAAAGATAAAATTTGCAGAAAACAAGCAGTTTGAAGCTTTATTATGAAATGGAAAATTGCTGAATGGGCATTTTATGAGTTGCTGCCTCATGTTTTTGAGCACTGATTCTTAATTTCTCTTCAGCTTTTTCCAGGCATACATTTTAGCTGCTCCTTGTTTTTTTTCCATCTGGTGCTTGCTTGTTGAGGAGCCAGCCTCTCTTTACTAAGGTTTTAATGTCTTTTTTTGTTCTCTTACTTTCCTTGAGGGGGGGAGGAATTTTTTTCATGTAGCTGTTTTTAGTAGAATAACATCGGGAGCACTCAGATTTGTTCAAATTGCAGCTGTTTTGACACAAATAATGGAAGTTCATCGCTATATTACGGTTAAGTGAGAGACTATAATTTTTGCTCTTACTAGCAAGTAATTCTTATTGACTACAGGACAAGCTATACTGGAGAACATTTTGACTTAATTTAACATGTAATAGTGAACACTTGGTTATTTGCTATTATTATTCACACCTAGCTTACGACATTCTCACTTTCTCTAAAGGGATGGAGCAGTTTTACGACTGGAGCAAGCAAGATCGCCTCAGCTGCTAAAGAGGGTGTAAGTAAACAAAATGTATTTCAGTGTAATTCTTGTAAACTCAGAGATTTGGTTAGTGTTCTAATAGGGATGTATCTTTAAAAGTATTACCAAGACAAACTAAACTCTGCTCTTTGTGCATCTTTGCCTATGGTATATAAAATAGATGCATATTGAATGCAGATCTCTGCCGTAACTATTTCTCATGTTTCTGGATGGACATTTTTGTAAATTTCTCCACTGGATGTAAGCATCAAAACAGAACTCAACTGCCATTTTTATACTCCTTTGATAAACACAAATTTTTATTTATAAAGCAGAAATTTTGGTCTATGCCAAGTAAGGCCAAATTGCATTCTTCAGCAGGAATTCAATACCAAGTTACAAATTGCTGATGGTTTTGGTTTTTTTTTTCCCCTTCCTTTGACTTCTCTCTAACTACAGCATTTTTGTCAGTTTAAGTAGAAAGCTTGTTGGGCAGAGGTTGTGCCCAGAGGGATGCTTTGGGAAAAACGGAGGCATTGTCTTCACGCTCTGCATGTTCTGCAAATTTGCACGCTGAGGTGGCAGTCATTCAACTAACTGTAGACTGAAACCAGAGGAATTAAAAAAATCTATTACATTTTAAGTAGATGATGGTGGAAAGAGATTAAATGTTTTTTTGTGAAAATAGTGCATTACAACTTTTTTCAGTTTTGCTTAGTATTCTTCCAGACTTTTATGAGCATAACAGTTACTTCTTAAGAAAAATACTTTGGGTGACATTACGAGAGACAGAAATATTGATACTCATCCACATTGGCCCACCAAGGTCTAGTCTATATTGAAGACCCTTTTTTTTCCCCCTGTTTTAAGTTGAGAAAGACCGATGCTTTGCCAGAGCAATCTGGGATACCAGAGGCGGTGATACAGATATTCTCTGTTCACTGTGAAATTCTGGCAATGGTCCATTCATCTTAGAGAGGATCATGCAACATTTCTAAATATGTGTGTTTACTCAGAATAAAGCCTTTGACTTTTAAACTTGAATGTATTTGCTTCTTTTCACAGGCTACCAGATTTGGATCTCAAGCAAGTCAAAAGGTGATTATAGATTTAGTTCTGTCTTATTGACTGTAATTTGCTTTAAATGTTATGTATTTGTCTGCACCAGTTGATTTAGACTTGATCACCAGCAGACCAGTGTGTTTATCCTTTATAGCGCACAGTAATTTTTAGGTTCTAGCTTTTATTTCTGTGGGGATTGCAATCAACACCGGTGATCAAATTAGGCAAGAAAGAAACAGTGATACTCTGCTGTGTATAACTGTTGGGTGTATTGGAGAGGCAGTAGAATGAAATGCTTTAATTCATGCTTGCAGACTTAAAATAGCCTTATTTTATTTTTGTGAACCTTAAACATGGTCTATCTTGAAGTAGTTTTCTTGGTGATATAATATAATGCAAGTCATCTTTCCATTGCTAGAGCCTAATAAGATATTACAAATGTGAACTGCTTAATATTGTTATTAAATTAACTTGCTTGCATGAATTTAAAAAAGTAGCAATTACAAAAGCATTTCCTCTTTCAAACTAGGGCTAAAACAGAGACAGTCAGACCTGAATTACACAGAGCTCTGACATAAGCAAGATCTGTTTGTATGGAGAAGTTTTAAATTCAAATGTAAAAATGTGTAAAAGAATAGGATTCTTAATGTGCCAAAGTTCTGCGTGAGAGAGGGCTTACATCCATTAATGGATGATATAGGGAGTTTACTTTGAACTATAACTCTTGTATGTATAGCATTAGCCTGGCATGCTTTCTGATACGCATAGGATGCTGTTGCTCAAAACAAATGAGAAACTGCAGGTGTTGGTGTTCAAATGGATGTAAGCAGTAGGATATTAATACTCCAAATAGCAAGCCAAACTTGTGCATGTTTTGCAACAAAAATACCTTGTTAAAGCACTCAAACTTGATACTTAGAAGCTTTAAAGTATTTCCTGCTTAGCTTACGTAAGAAAAACTTAAGTCTTCTACAAGTCTTCCTCTTTCACTCCTTCCGGCAGTTTCCCTTTTAGAAAAGTGTTCTTTCTTTAGTATTATCAGCAAATGTAAATATAATATTAAGTGTAAAAGCTCATCACATCTACTGACAAGGACCACAGCAGCATGGTGCTCCAGAGTCTAAGCTGTGTTACTGAAGCTTAAATTTTGTTCCTGAAACATCTGATCTTTTGCTCTGTAGAACAGATTTAACATCTTTTTGATGTAATATATTGTTTAAAAGTATATTTGGTGTCCAGTGACCAAACGTATTCACTGTTTGTCTTGTCAGTAGATGTTAAAGTTGGAAAAGGTTCTTGCTACTTAACTTGCCTGAAAAAATGCTGCCAATTTTTTGCTAAAAGCTGCTTCTACCTTCCTTGCTCTTTCTCTTTTGCTGTCTGGGTAAAGTTTTGGGGCTACAAGCAGCAGCCAGAGCCGGTAACGCCCTCACATATATTCTTGTGCATGGACTCCTTGTCGCTGTTCGTGCTGAATACGTGCATTTGCTCTTGAGCTGTCTTTTCTTCTTTTGCCTTAAGTCAAATCTGTTTAGAATAATGTTGTGTGTTTCATATGGTAATGTTTCTTCAAACCTATTTAAAATAGGTTAAACTGGATAGAGATATCCAAACTCTGCACTCTCAGAAAACATGCTGTACTTTTGTCCACGCTCTTCATAAACACAGATGACTTCAGGATTTCCGTTTGCATGTGTGATCCAGGAATGCAGTATACCAAGAACTACCCTGGGGTGTTGTTTGAAGGCAGACTCTTTAATAAATGCCCCATTATGTAGCGTTTGTAATGGTGGTTAGGATGCTATCCTAAATTCAGCAATAGTAAAGATGAAGAAGCGATTCAGACAGAAACACAATTGTACCTAAATCTTCCCTTTCCATATTTACAAAATTACGTGGTTGAGTAAATGGGATAATATAAGAATTCTTCCTGATTCTAGTAATGACTTCACTTAGGATACCTGAACTGTTAGTGTATTACAGTCTTTTCTAGAACATAAACAGTTTGCCAGGTTTAATAGACTCTGAAGGATTTTTCAAAGATGAAAAATCCCCTTTCTCATTTTCTTAAACACTTTCTAGCCCCACTTCCAATGGAAACAAGCCTTCTGTGATTTGCATTCACATTTCTTACTAGGTGAAAATGGGGTTACCTTTTGCCTTTGTCTTCTCAAATAACCTTTGAACTGGTAAGGAGTAGAAGTATTGGAGATAATGGTGGTTGGGTAGAGGGGAGATCCTAGTAGTGCTGTGGCTAAGGGAAAGGCTTCTTAAGACACCTGGGAATTTGTGGAGGAAAGATGCTCAAGGTGCTCCATCCCCAGGAAGAATATGAATGAAGGCTCACACCCCAACTAATGTTAGCGATAAGATATAAACCCTTAGGAAATGAAACTTCATTAGACTCTGCTAATGTTTAGGAATAATGTTTGTCTCACAAGGAAATTGGCCCTTTTGGATTAATTGGGCTGATTCAGAAGGTAATCAGTATAATATGGCAATTCTGAAGAATAGTTTAAATCAATCAAAGGCTTATTCTGGTAGTAGGGAAAGGAATGATTTCAAATGAAACATGTGCAAACCTTCTTGTCCGTGTCAATATTGTCTTATGAAAGTAATTTTGTGGCTTATACTGTGGGCTTACATTTTTGTAAGATGCCTCTGAAGTACAATATCCTTGTACTTGTTCTGGATTGCAATAGATTTCTGAAGTTCGTTGTTTTCTCCCCCTGCAAACCTGGAGCTGTAAAAAAGATTACAAAAATCTTCTGTCACAGCTTTGCCTCTTGTGTATTGCTTAGAAACAATTGGGCTGTTATTAATAGATGACAATTGCAGCACTTCAGGACAGAAGAATTGGTGAAAAATTGGCCAAAAAGATCTAATTCTACAAGTAATTCCATTAGTAAGGAAAAATAAAGGTGGATGAGGTCAGTTCTTCCAAATATCCAGCTGCAGGCATTAGAAAGGGGCCCATCTTCTAGCCTATTCCTTCTGCTTTCAGTGCAAGGTCAGACTTTGCTTGGGCTCTGGGCATCTCCAGCAACCTATTGCCATGTGCATCTGTTTTTAATTTATTTTCTTTTAATGTTTTCTGCAGCACTGTACTGTGTGTGCTTTTCAGCTCATTCTGCTTGTATGAGTCAAAGTTTAAGGCTTCATGTGTCTTTGGAGATACTGCTGTGAAATTAGCCTGCAGAAGATGTTGGCTGTGTTTTTTTGTTTTTTTTTT